GTCCTTTCATCAATACCCTTACACATCCTAGCAGTGCACACTCTTCCTAAATCCATCACACAAACCCTCACCAAATACATGGCAAACTTCCTTTGGGGACAAAAAGATGGGGTACAGAAATACAACTGGATAAGATGGAGACAACTAACAAAACATCAGGAAGAGGGGGGCCTAGGTATCAAAAGCTTAGAGGATCAACATCAAGTCTACACACTCAAGCTTTGGTGGAAGGCAAGAAATGACATGGGGATATGGGGAGCCTTCGTGAGAGCAAAATACATGAAGAAAGGAGCCATGAAGGAGAAGATTACAGATTCCCCTACCTGGAAGAGGATTTGTAGATCAGACGAACTTGCAACCTCTCATACCACCACAATAGGTTGTGAAGAGTTCTGGGAAGGAAGTACTTTCAGCCTCCAGGGAGCCTATAAGGTAATTCAAGAGAATGGTCCAAAATTGCTATCTTGCAAATACATCTGGCACAGCTCCAACATCCCAAAAATCAGAATCTTCTTGTGGAAACTCCTCAACGGGGCACTACCTTTTCCTCAAAACAATGGCAGATTTGCCTCCTCCCTACCAAGCATGTGCCTTCCCTGCAAAAACAACAAAACAACAATGATGACACAGACCACTGCCTACTCCACTGTCCAACAGCAACCACGATGTGGAACAAGCTGGCCGCCCTCTCCAATGGCCCAAGGGTTAAAGAGAACACTACTCTACGTCAACACCTCCTTGCATGGTGGTTTGGAAGAAACACTAAAAACTTCAAAGGAACCCTTCGTATCATTTTCCCAGGCCTTTGCACATGGTACCTATGGAAGGCACGTAACTCTAGTCTTCACAACGCAACCATTCCAACAGTAGAGGGAATATTTCAATCCTGCCTCAAGACACTCCAAGCATGGGCATACCTAAATAGGAGAAAAAAAGGGATGGTGCATGATGCAGACTTCATAGGTTTGGGGATTGATTCCTTTTTGCGCAATGGTCGAAGATTATTAGTTAGAACTTTTGATTAAGTTTGCTTTGTATCACCTACCTGATCCTCTTGTACCTTTGTCTCTAGTTTTTTTACTAATAAATGCATTTACCTTTATATATATATATATATATATATATATATATATATATACACTAAAAATTTTCGAGCTATCTCTCTCCCCATAAGAGGAATCTGCCATACAACATGAAAGCTGAAGATGGACGAAATCACACTCTACTCCATTGTCACCTTGCACAACAGCTTTGGAACCATTTTTCCCTTCTTCTGGATGGACCTATGCCTAGACATGGGAGAACCATTAGCCAACATCGCATTTCCTGGTGGTCAAGTGCAAAGGGGAAGACCTTCTCTGGACATCTACGAGCGGTCATACCTCGCTTCATTGCATGGAGTCTCTGGAAAAACCATAATGAAGCACTATACGATGGCAACCCAACCAACCTCCAAGGTCTTATCAAATTAGTCCATAACATCTCACAAAAATGGTGCTCGATCAATAGGAAGAAAGGTTGGCTGTCCAAGGCAAAACACTACATGTTTGGTAATGAAGATTTCTTTTGGCTTAATGGAACAAGGCTACTAACGGGACTTAGCTGATACCATCTTCTTTTTCCCTCATTGTAAACCCCCCTTTGATTCGTTAATTTACTTTTGGGGCCAGGTCTAGCCCTCCCCAAATGTGCTGTAATCTCTTCTCCATTATTTCTATATATATATATATATATATATATATATATATATATATATATATATATAGTCACAAGGTACCACAAACCTTTACTTACAACAACCATAACCCTATGATAATAGTAAAGATTATAAGAGAAGTTTTAGTCACAATGTCCTCATCCAAACTAATATCAAAGCTATCTTCCAAAAGGAGAAGAGAAACCACAGAAATGAATTAAAAGCCATATGACTAATAAAGGAAAGATTCATCCCTTGGTAGATTTTAATTGGGAGATACGAATTCAATTTAATTAAGTAAAACCTGGACATAAAATTCAAACTTAATTGATGATATTATTTTATAATAAGACACTTTAGCCAATTGACTAAAAACATCTTTTTATAATAAGATAATCAACATCTAAGTCTTTATATCTAAAAGCCAGGAAACTACAACACCCAATGTAACTAAGAAGCAATCTTAAGTATTCAACAGAAATTGTTTGTCCAAGTTGACCGACACTCCTAAAGCCAAAAAATACCATACAATAGCCTAACACATCAGGACACCAAATCATAGAGATGTTGTAGAAGAGTCCAAAATGTCCAAATGTACTTTAAAATATGGAGTGCATCTTTGCTCAGCCAAACTGACCCGACTTGGCTTCAAATATTGGAAATCTCAATCAACATACACTTTATATGAATTACATTTAGGACCTGGACCTGTAACAACATATATGGAAACCAACAAAAAATTTAAAAGCGATACTCATGTGAAGATGTCAGTGAAGCCTAATGGCTGAATAAGCCATGTTAATACAAAATAGTATAGAAATTATCAGACTTAATTCACGTCTAGAATCATATCCAAACGAGAATACCTAAATCCAGATATATATCGAACTCAGTATATAAATTATCAGACTTGGTCTTGTGAAACCTAAATCTAGATATTTATCCACTTATGATGGATAAAAATGAATATAATAGAATAAAGTGCATGGTTTACCCCGTACTCTTTAGTAATTACATGTTTTACCCCTGAACTTTAAAAAGTGCACCGATTACCCTCGAACTCTTCGAAAATTGCACGATTACCCCTGCACACTAAAAAATGCACCAAATACCCTTGAACAAATTAAATCGTTGCATCGTTGGTCCTAAACTATTAGATAGGGAGTGCGTTGCTTCCACGCATAAGAATTGCGAATATGATTCATCTGGCCCTTGTGAATTTTCCAATGTAACTTTACCCAAAATTGTCGTCTCTATTTAAATGTTCAGGAGTAAACAATACAATTTTCGAAGAGTTCAGGGGTATTTGGTGCAATTTTTATTGTTCAAGGGTAAACCGTGCAATTTCAGAATAATTCAAGGGTATTTGGTGCACTTTTTAATGTTCAGGGGTAAACCATGCAATTTTCAAAGAATTCGGGGGTAAACTATGCACTTTTCTCGAAAAAAAGACATACTATATATGTGTAAGGAAGAATATAGTTGAGAAAAATATGAGGGAAAAATGCTAGGATTCAATTATAAACGAAAAGGGCTACCAATTCAAATTGAATTCTTTACTCAGTCTATGAAGTAATTTACAATCGGAAGCCATCACGTCTGAAATCTGAGGACTAGTCGACGATTCCAAAGTTGAAGCTCGTCGAAGATGTTGGAACACACTTTATATTGCGTTGAACTAAAGTCGTGTTCATTTCTGACAGGTTTTGATATTTGCCAAACTGCCGTGGATATGAAGAGTTCCATTGAATAAATCAAGGCATGAAGAAAGGCATGAAACAGGACCAAGAGACTCAAGTACAAGATCAAGAATTGAAGACTTAGTCGAGTTGGTCTTACTGTGATCAAAGCCGACAATTAATTCAAGTCTCGGTTCTCAAAGAGTCAAAACAATTTTACAAAATCATGAATCGTTTTCTTATGCATCAAAATAAACGTTTTAACAAAGGATTTTAATGTTTTAAAATCCCAGGTCCTTTCCCAAACCAAAACCACATATTTGGCATTCGGCGTTCGGCATCCGGCATTCAGTTTTTGGGTCCGAACTAACTCAGTGGTTTTCTATATTTTTAACTTTTTTTACCTCTAGGAATATTTTAAAGGTTCTCAAACAATTTTTTGGTCAATCAGTCTAACACGTGAAAATCGGTCAGAACCGTTAACACTTGACAAACGACCCTGAAGAATTGATTTTTAATAAACAAGTCTTGATTTTACTATTTTACACCACATACAATGTTTCTCAACCTTGGTTTTTACCTTTGGGACTACTTTGTTTTTTGGACCTCGGTTTTTTAAGTTAAGTTTTCGCTGGATGGTCTTAGATGGTTGATACTCGATTGTCATCCTTGCCACAATCGACTATCACATGCTGCCACTTCTGAACTCTGAGTTCATGACCATCCTAAACTCGATTGACACATGTGGTCACTCATCTGCGTTTTTCTCAAAACTAGAATTTTTCAAAGAGGCTTGATAGTCGACTGATAGACTTAGACAATCGACTATCAGTGTTATCGTTGCCCTCCAACGGATAGAATTTTAATTTTTTGGACACAGAATCTTTTGATAATCAATTATCTAGACAATCAATTATTAGTCTGTGACTCTGAAATATTTGTCCTGATCCAGTTGGAACTCTTGCAACGGTTACACCACATTTTGGGTTATAAAATGGCACACAAATCCTCTCATTTTACACACAATTCTTCAAGATTTCAATACTCTTTCATTGCATAATCATATTTCATAGTTCATAGCTTTTTGAGAGCTAATTATTGAAGAAATTGTCATGTTCTTGAGCGTTTACTAGTTCACTCATAGCTACTCTTTGTAAGATTTTGATTCCTGAGTGTTTCTATACACTTGAAGGGGGTTTGTTCCCTTTTTGTATTTCGGAGGAAGTTTTCGTTCCTTTGTGTGAAGTCTTAGAGTGCGATATCTCTGAGCTAAGGCATTGAGGCTCGTGTGACAGGAGTTCGCAAGTTGTATTGGTTTGTTGAGAACCTTTGAGCTTAATGGAGTTAGTGTAGCTTGAGAGAGTCTCTCGGGAGGCTGGATTAGCCACACGTTATGGTGAACGAGGATAAAATTTGGTGTGCTCCCTTCTTACGCTCTTTACTTTACCCTCTTCGTTTTTAAAATCCTGCAATTTTGTTTTAAACGCTATTCATCCCCCCTCTAGCGTTGGGCCATTATTCCTACAATTGGTATCAGAGCCATACTCACTGAAAGACTTAACCGTTTGAGAGAAACGATCAATGGCTTCTACTCAAAACTTATACGCAGGTTTAGGTGAAGGACAATCCACTACGAGGCCTCCGTTGTTTGACAGAACGAATTACATGTATTGGAAGGAGTGGGTGAGGATTTACATCCAATCCACCAACTTTCTCCTATGGAGAATCATCAAGAAGGGCGAAGAAGTGCCTATGAAGAAGGTCGGGGAAACCACCGTCCCTAAAATTGAGGATGAGAATGATGCACAGGATATCATGAAGATCGAGAACAACGCAAAAGCCATCAACATCCTCTATTGTGCCGTGAACCCAGATGACTACCAGAAGATTTCTTGTTGTTCCACTGCCACGGATATGTGGGACAAGCTTGAAATCACCTATGCAGGTACGGATCAAGTCCGAGAAGCTAAAATAGATTTTCTAACCCATGAATATGAATTGTTTCCTATGAAGGAGAATGAGAAAATCGATGAGATGTTTGAACGATTTTCAAAAAACATCAATGACCTTATCGCTCTCAAAAAGACGTACACAGACAAGGAGCTTGTGAGAAAAATCATGCGGAGTCTCACACCGGAATGGCGCTCCAAAGCCGATGCCATCCAAGAGTCCATCAGCATCACCAACGTCACCATCGACGGACTTAGAGGTAAACTAAAAACATATGAGTCTACCATTCTTTTCCCCTCTGTAGGTGAACAAAAAAAGAAGGAGATCGCACTCAAGGCTTCCACAAGCCAAGAACCCGCCATGGAGGAATCAAGCGGCGAAGACAATGAGTTCGGGCTCGTTATCGAGAAATTCCACAAGTTCATCGGAAGGAATATGAACGGAAGAACAAGAAGCTAGGAGGGCCACCCAAACGCTATTGGTGTGGAGAAATCGGCCATATCAAGCCGAAATTCCCAAATGCCAAGAACGAGAAGGAGAACAAGCCATTCAAGAAGCACCAAGCTTACATCTCTTGGGAGGCGACTCCAGCAACGAATCTTTGGATGGCGAAGAAAACGAAAGCTCCAACCTTTGTCTCATGGCACACGAGGAACCGCCGGAGGAGGTATGTACCACTTCTAAAGATTCCTAATCTTTTGATCATGTACAAGAAGCCTTTAATGAACTTTACGATGAGTATGTCAACGCTTCTAAAATTAACAAAGATTTGAAGAAACAACTTTCTTCCATGGAGAAGGAGGTTGAAAAACGTTCTAAAGAAAATGAAAAATTAAAGAAGAAAATAAGTTTTTCAGAAAAAGAAGCGCAGAAAAACCGGAGTGTTCTAAATGTAGCTCTTGCACATCTCTAAAACAACAAGTTCCAAAACTTGAAGGAACCTTGAAGAAGTTTGGTGTTGCACATAAAAACCTTAATGATGTTCTTGACAACTTGCAATTTTCTAAACATGGCTTAGGGTTTGAAAATGAAACTAATAATAATAAGGAAAAAGTTGAGCAACCACCTAAACAACCTAAGGCTCAACATAGGAAAAATAAAACAAGCAATAATAGACAACCTAGAAAAACTAGGAACACTAGACCACCTAGAAAGAACACTAAGATGAACAATGATCATGTTAGAGAACCTAGAAATAACTTTTTGAATACGCATAAATAAAACTTTTTTCAAAGCAGGATTAATCAATATAGAAAATCTAGCAACTATTATCAACTTAGGAGAATGCATAAATCAAATGTCATTTGCCATTATTGCAATAAGGTAGGACATAAAGCCCCGGTTTGCTTCACTAGGCATAGGCATTGCACTCAAAACCAATCACACTACCAACATGCAACCCAAAACGGATTGAGTACCTAAATCTTTTTAAATTGATTTGTAGGTGTGCTTGAAGGCATCAAGTGTACTTTGGTACCTTGATAGCTGATGTTCCAAGCGCATGACCGGAGATGCATCCTAGTTTTTGCAAATCAAACCAACTAAAAGAGGAAATGTTGTCTTTGGTGACAATAACAAAGGAGAAATAATCGGCATTGGTTCGGTTGGTAAAAACAAAACCTCCTCTATTGATAATGTGTTATTAGTTAAGGGTCTTAAGCACAATCTCTTGAGCATAAGCCAATTGTGTGACAAGGGAAATCATGTGACCTTCGATTCAAAATCATGCATGGTAGAACGTCTTAATGACAATAAGATGATTCTCCGTGGTGATAGAATCGATAACATTTATATGGTTAACTTAGATGAACCCCCCTCTTACTTTGCCAAATGTCTCATGAGTAAGGAGGACGATATGTGGCTATGACATCGTAGAGTAGCTCATGTTAACATGAACCTTTGAAAAAATTGCTTTCATAAGACCTAGTAGTTGGTCTCCCAAAACTCAAGTTTGAGAAGGATACCATTTGTGATTCATGTCAAAAGGGCAAGCAAGTAACGGCCTCATTTAAATCGAAAAATGTTGTGTCTACAACAAGGCCCCTACAACGTTTGCACATGGATCTCTTTGGACCATCAAGAACAAAAAGTTTTGGTGGAAACTATTTCGCCTTTGTGATCGTTGATGACTACTCTCAATTCACATAGAAATTATTTCTAACTCATAAAAGTGAGGCATTTCATGTTTTCAAAACTTTTCTCAAAAAGGTTTAAAATGAAAAAGGCTTGATCTCTGTAGCCATACGAAGCGTTCAAAGAGGAGAGTTCGAACAAGATCTCTTTTCTGAGTTTTGTGACAAACTTGGCATCGAGCATAACTTCTCCGCTCAACGTACACCACAACAAGATGGCGTGCTGGAACATAAAAATCGATGTCTCGATGAGATGGCTAGAACTATGCTCGATGAGGCAAAAATCCCTAGGTATTTTTGGGCGGATGCCGTTAGTACCGCGAGCTACGTGTTGAACCAAGCCGTCATTAGACCGATACTCATGAAAATCCCATATGAACTATACTGAGGAAGAAAGTCAAACCTCTCCCATCTTCAAGTCTTTGGTTGCAAATGTTTTGTTCATAATAACTTGGATGAAGGAATTTTCCTTGGTTACTCATTGCGTAGTAAGGCTTATAGAGTCTTCAACAAACGCACCTTAACTGTTAAGGAATCTCCTCACGTTGTCTTTTCCAAAAGTGATACTCGTTTGGCGAGAAAGGTTTCTTGTGATGATTTTGTAGATTCGTTGGAAACAACTCTAAGGAAGCACAAGACGAAGAAGAAGAGCCACCTATGGATGAGGAACAACCACGAGAGGAAGAGACGCCAATGATAATGGCGTGGAGGATTTCAAAGGACCATCCTCTTGACATGGTAACCGGTGACATCAACTGAAGGGTTAGTACTCGTAACTCTCTTAGGGACACCGTATGTCACATGGCTTTCGTTTCTCAAATTGAACCTACAACCATTTTAGAAGCAATTGATGATGAACATTGGACCTTGGCAATGCAGGAGGAGCTTAACCAATTTATACAAAATGACGTTTGGGAATTGGTGCCAACACCTGATGATCATACCATAATAGGTACGAAATGGGTGTTCCGTAACAAAATCGATGAAAACAGGATAATCACTAGAAACAAATCTAGGCTTGTAGCTAAAGGCTACAATCAAGAAGAAGGCATTGATTCCGAAGAAACTTATGCACCGGTAGCAGGTTTAGAAGCTCTTCGTTTATTACTTGCTTTTGCTTCATCTATGGATTTATAACTATACCAAATGGACGTTAAGAGTGCCTTCCTCAATGGTTTTATTCAAAAGGAAGTGTATGTTGATCAACCCCCGGGATTTGAGGATTTTGAGCACCCGGACTATGTCTTTAAACTAAAGAAAGCACTCTACGGTCTGAAATAGGCATCTTGTGATTGGTAAGAACATTTGAGCAAATTTGTTTTGGACAACTGGTTCAAAAGGAAGAAGGTTGAAAATACGCTTTTCATCAAGAGTAAAAATGATAACATGCTCTTAGTACAAGTTTACGTAGATGACTTTATATTTGATGCTACTAAATAATCTTTGTGCAAAGAATTTTAAAATCTAATGACAAATGAATTTGAGATGTCCATGATGGGAGAACTTAATTTCTTCTCTGGCTTACAAGTTAAACAAATGAGAGAAGGAACCTTCATTTGTCAATCAATGTATAACAAGGAGCTCCTCAAAAGGTTTGAAATGGACGGCTCCAAGGCAATGGCTACCCCGATGAGCACCTTCGAACACGTAGACAAAGATACAAAGTGTTGAAACACGGGTTTACTACTTTAGTGTACTAAAGCCGTGTTCGTTTTCATGTTTATGGTATATCGTTCTTATATTCTAAGTTAGATATTATGTTTTGCTTAAATTTAGATAAACACAATTGAGTAACAAACATTTGTTCGACCCTGGGTGTCACGGGTCAAAGTACTAGTAATGATAAAATGGAGGAACGTACATTAAAAAGTAATAAAAAATAAAACTTACTCCCTCCGTCCTAATTTAGATTGTCTGTTTCGATTTATAATATTTGACTGAATTTATTTTCAAATCATTTTATATGAAAAATGATGTAGAATGAAAAAATAAAAATTTTATATTCAAAAACTACATTAAAAGATCTACAAAACTAGTGGTGACATGACTATATTATTGTATTCAATGACTAATGAAAATAGGAAAAATATTTGAATAAAGTTTGATCATATGGATAATAAACATACAATTTAATTTAATTTAAGATAGAGGGAGTACAAATTTGCCATCTTTTGTCACACCTCTAAAACATGTAAAACGGATGCTTGGAGAATGGATCAGTATCATATGCTCAAACAGATAGATGCTTGGAGAATGGATCAGTATCATAAGCATGTATCAGTTTGTTGGCTTTTGTCTCTTCATTCGATCCACATATATTGTTGTATGCTCTCAACACGATATGTCTGTAGAACAAATTAAATTAATTCAATTAAACCGGATATTACTAATGCAGTTTAGGGCTATCCTCCATAAACTACTAGACTACTACTATCTTCATCCCATAAACCTTTTTTCACTTTAGAAAAGACCAAATTGGTTCAGTGCCCTTTAATTTATGCTTTGAAAAAGTGACATTAGTATACTCTCAATTTTCAAAACTTATTTTTAAAGTATCTAAGGTTTCAAAATGTTACACCCCGACTCTCATTGATCATTTTCTGATCCTTTTCCAGCGACGAGGGGCATTGAGGCCTAATCTATAAGTCATAGGGACACTCGTCCTCATTTCGTGTTTCTTGTTTACTCTTGGTTTTCTTTCTTTTCTTAACTCTTTTTTATCTCTTTGTTTCCTTTTCCCAGAAAATATTTTTAAATTTTTTTTCAATTGTTTATAATTTTATTAAAAATTCAAAGTTCTCTGTATTTGAAAGAAATTAAAAAATTTAACAAATAGTCCATCTATCTCAAATTTAAACATTTTCATTTTTTATTTACTAGAATAATTGTTTTGGTAAATTCAAAAAGAAAATCCTAAATAAAAAAAATTAAGGAAATACGAAATGAAAAAACTTGAAACATGCAAAAAAGAGTCTTATACAACAAGAAAATTTACAGAACACCTAAAAAAGTTCTTAGAATTGGGATACCCAAAAAGGATATTCTTTTTTATTTTATTTCTTATTTTATTCCTCATTTTTTCAAATTCTTAAAAAAGTTATTACTTTTTTATTTCGAAAAATAAAAAATAAAAATTGTTAAATCCAGACGTACAGATGCATTATATGCTAATTTTTTTTAAAAAAAATATTTTTAAATTTTAAGAACATTATTAAAAAACTTAAAATACATTTAAAAAAACCTTGCTATAAAAGAAAAAAATACATAAAAAGGGGGGAAACAAACAAATACATGAAAATAATAAGAAATAAGCACCAATGTCCCATATGGTTTGGAAAATGGAAAAAGATTTATAGTTCCATTCATAACCATATATTACGAAAAAGTTTTGTGAAATGCCCAGATACAATGCCACATTAGCACAGTGCTAACTCTTATTTTGGTGATGAAAACATGAAGCTCATATTTTGGTACCATTTCTATGTTTAATTTTACCCCTATTTAGAGTAATTTCTTTTGGAAAATCGGCACTAATGCCCCCTTCTTCACCAAAAAATGGTCACAAAATCATATGGGTGTAACGTTTTAAAACCACAAGTATTTTAAAAATAAGTTTTAAAAATAAGGAGTATTGGTACCTATTTTTCAAACCACTAGAGGTATTGATGTTATTTGGCCCTTCGGAGAAAAATAGGACTATAATTAAATAATGTATAGTGTTAGTGTTATTTTTTCAATTTTGTGTTATTTTAATTTATTGTATGGTAGCATGTGATATGAAATCACCCTAAATGGGAGTAAAACATAAAGAAAGTATTAAAATAGGAGTTTCATGTTTTTATTCTCTGAATAAGACTTCGCATTGTAATAATATGACACTATACATGTGCATTTTACTATACCTTTTGGTAATATATATGGTTTTTGATGGATATTACCCACTGGTACCACCCGGCAAGTTTACAGGCACCCGGGGGTACGGAAGTCTAGCCCGCCTAACGTCACCAACCTCGGTAGACTGACCGGGTGGATGTTGCACGCGCCCGAGAGATCTGAAGGCTGACCCTTATGACCTCACCAACCCCGATAGACTGACCGGGTGGATGTCGGGGGTCAGACATATGAGATCGTGACTTCATTTGAAGAGAAGGATTGAAGATTGCCCAGCTTGAAGACTGCCCAGGTGGATGACTTGAAGACTGGTCGGCTTAAAGACTGCCCGGGTGGATGACTTTAAGACTGGCCAGCTTAAAGACTGCCTGGGTGGATGACTAGAGATAATACCCATCAGTGTTCATCTCAAGTCATTAATTCCACCTGGTAGGTTTGCGACCGACTAGGAGGTATCTAAATCTGACACCCCATGACTTGGTCGACCCGGTGACCGGGTGAAAACTGTGTAGGTTTGCTTAAGGCATACGTACTAACTAGGTGAAAATTGATCGGGCAGCGCCGAGACCTGCTTGACGTGCTTATTCATTATTATAAATAGGAGAAAAGCCTCATTAGTAAGGCAGGTTCTAATTAACCTAGATGACTTGTATTTGGTAAACAATCCTACTATCATTAATAATAAACCAGATTATAGGTGCTTCCACCTACAACCCTACTGCTTATTCAGACATAGTACTCACGTTGGATTTACACCATCAAATTGGCGCCACCCGTGGGACCTCTTTACAAAAAGAGGCCATGAAGAACAACAATATGGAATACATGATTTCCCAAATTTCCACCCCGACGGAAGGTCCTACCCTAATCCTAGGAGGAATCACATCATTACCTTCTCCTTTCTCCCCATGATCACTACCTTCACATGCAACTCAAACAACGCCTAATCAGGCCCTCCAAACCTTTGGACAATTTATGCCCATGTTCTAACAACCTGGGGGATTTACTCTTTTCATCCCTGGGATGCATCCCCATGCTCTAGCTCAAAATATATCTCTTCCCAACACGCTGTGCATCTCCCGCAATTTCAACTGGTTAGTACCACCCGGTTGGTCAACCCAACAAATCTAGACGGGGAGTTGGAAAGGACAAGTCCTTCTCGGTCTAGGAGGAGCAGATCCCACAAACTCCCCACTCAGGTCACACCCGACTGGGACATACGCTCTATACGCAGCAGGGACAAAGACTGGGATATTCCCAGGGGCTAGAGAAAGCTATAGGGCAAAGCCGTCCAACCCAAAGGTTCACGACGGTCAGCGTTCCAGCAACTGGGACATGAGGGGGGAACCAGAACCGATCGGCCAAGGAGCGGTTAGGGGGTGAAGGTTCCCCAACCAGGCGCATTCTATAGACTACGAGGTGGTAGGCGACCCGGTCGGATCGGGCGCTCTAACCCTCGTCTTCGTGATGAACCCAACACAGCAGGGTGCCTAGAGCGGAGGGCCAGGCGAAAAGCCAACCCAGAGTGGCGATACACATGCATGCTGAACCACCCAGCAACCGGTTGGACAGGGTGGAAGAACGTTTGGAGAGGCTCTTAAAGAGAGTTCGTTAGGAGGAAAAGAAGAAAGTGGTGTTGAATAACCATTTTATCATCCGTTAAGACCTGATATGTACCGTGCCAATGTTCAATAAAATTGATCTTTTTTCTCAAAAGACTTCTTCCAAGACCGGTAAAGAAAGGGTTACAGACCTATCCTCTCGGTGAATGTCCAATTGAATTGAGCATTTGAAAAATAAACAACCGGCCTTGTCAAACGAATAAACCGTATCAACACGGTAAAAAAATTACAGTTGAACTTTTTCTGAAAAGACTATTTACAAAACCACCCGGGTGGAACATCATATTTTTTCAGAAAAGATGGTAAGACCGGTCGGGGAAGGTTGCAGACCTTCTGCCCAGTCAGTGTTCAATCGAATTGAGCATTATAAAACCACCTGGGTGGAACATCATACTCTTTTAGAAAAGATGGTAAGACCGGTCGGGGAAGGTTGCAGACCTTCTGCCCGGTCAATGTTCAATCGAATTGAGCATTACAAAACCACCCGGGCAGAACACCATATTTTTTTTAGAAAAGATGGTAAGACCGGTCGGGGAAGATTGTAAACCTTCTGCCCGGTTAGTGATCAATTGAATTGAGCATTATAAAACCATCCGGGCGGAATACCATACTTTTTCAGAAAAGATGGTAAGACTGGTCGGGGAAGGTTGCAGACGTGTCCGCCCAGTCAATGTACAATCGAATTGAACTAAAAAAATAATATGTGACACAGGCCCGGCCTGGTACGTTGGTGTCACACCAGTCTTGCACATATTAGAAAGACTGCGACCCAGTCGAACTGGTACACTGGTCTCACACCGGTCTTGTGCAGTAAAAAATGAAAAAAATAAATAAAATATGTGACCAGCCAAACTGGTACACTGGTCTCACACCGATATTGCACATATTTTCCAACAAGCCTGAGCCCAATTGAATTGGGTACACCGATCGCACATCAGTTTCGGCAAAAAAAAAGAAGAAAAGAGCCCAGTCGGACTGGGAACATCGGGCCTACCCCGATCTTCGATATCTTTCCCTGAACACTTTTCACTCAGGCAAAGTCAAGGTGAACCACCCTAACTGGGATAAATCAAGAAAAATTGCCCACCCGATCAAGATTCAGACCCGAGTGAGTGACGGGGTCACGATGGTTTCCCTTAAATTGGCTCGGAGGACTTTTCCAAGAATATGTTCCCCCGTTTGCATGGTCGAGGCCATGAAGGGAAATAATTGATGCCCTTGCTCACTCGGATGACTAGGGCTCTTGTTCACCCGGGTGAAAGAAGAAATGACTCACATGATCAACTTTGAGGCATAGCTCGGGTGGCTTATTTTCTACTCGGGTAGAAAGCCAAAACCGGTCAGATGGGCTAGGTCCACCATTTTTTGGGAAAAACACTATTCTTTTTCAACGCGGGTAGATATAGCGCGGCTGTGGCCAAAGAGTTTCAGAGTTGGAACAGCTAGGTTAAAAATAAAGGAAGAAAGTAAAAAAAGGGAATAAGTACTCGGCCGGGTCAAAATCCTGCACCTGGCTACTCAAGATCCCGTACAGCCCGCAATGCTTTTGGTACTGACCTGTCCCAAACCCAAAGGCCCCAATGTCATCAATCAATTGGTGGGACATAAGGAAGAACCAGATGCCGACCTCCCTGTCAGGAAGTGCCTAGGGAGCAAACTTCTACGGTTCCTGCGCAGCCCAAACAGTGGCGTGAACAGCCCGGTCGGAGCGATCCCTCTCAAGCTCAGCCCTTAGTTGGGCATTCTCCTCCTCCAGGTGGCCCGTCCGCCCGACCTTCTCCTCCAACTTGGCGATCTTCCGCTTAGCCTGCTCATTTGACTTCTTGGCGGACTTGAGCAAGCCCTCGTGCTTAGCGAAGAGACACCGGTAGGCTTCGACCTGTTCAACCAACTTCTCCTTCATTTTCTCGGACGCCAACCAAGCTGCCATTGCTTCCTTCCAGGCAGCGACCATCATGGCTTCCATTCGGAGCTTCTCATCCGTCTAGGACCTGACCAGCCGGATGGCCCACTCCTGCTCGATCCAGAAAGAGGAAATGACGCGACAACTAAGAGGTGGCGTACCAGATTTCCGTAAAAACTTTCCCGCCATCCATACCCGAGGAATTCAAAATTCAAGATTATTCATACATTTGATTCCCGCCCTTGATGGTGCCCACAAAGCCGAGAATCGGAGGACTCCTTGATGGATATAACCCACTGGTACCACCCGGCAAGTTCACAGGTACCCGGGGGTAAGGAAGTCTGGCACCACCTGACATCACCAACCCCGGTAGACTGACCGGGTGGATGTCACAGGCGCCCGAGAGATCCGAAGGCTAGCCCCTTATGACCTCACCAACCCCGATAGACTGACCGGGTGGATGTCGAGGGAGATCGTGACTTCATTCGAAGAGAAGGATTAAAGATTGTCCAGCTTGAAGACTGCCCGGGTGGATGACTTGAGATAATACCCATAAGTGTTCATCTCAAGTCATTAATTCCACCCGGTAGGTTTGCAACTGACCGGGAGGTATCTAAATCTGACACCCCATGACTTGGTCGATCCGGTGACCGAGTGAAAACTGTGTAGGTTTGCTTAAGGCATGCGTACTGACCGGGTGAAAACTGACCAGGCAGAGAAACAGTAACGTCGAGACCTGCTTGACGTGCTTATTCATTATTATAAATGGGAGTAAAAGCCTCATTAGTAAGGCAGGTTCTAATTAACCTACATGGCTTGTATTTGGTAAACAGTCCTACTATCATTAATAACAAACTGGGTTACAGGTGCTTCCACCTACAACCTACTGTTTATTCAGACTTAGTACTCACGTTGGATTTACACCATCAATTTTGATTGGTAATGTAAATAAATTTTAACTCCTATTTTGGGAATAAAAATATGGAACTCCTATTTTGATATATTTTCAATGTTTTACTCATACTTTATTCTTTTTTCCCTTTTGTGAATTCATATTTAGCCCAAATATTTAATGCTTGAGTAAAATATTTGTTTCCCCTTCAATATGTTTGCAATATATGATGTACAATTAGTCGTACGGTGTTTCCCATACATTCGAGACGAGTACTCATTTACAAGTAACTGAATACTCATTTCGAGCAACTTAATGCTCATTTTCGAGCAACTAAAGACTTATTTTTCAAAAATTCAATTATGGTCGAAAATTAGGATTCAGTTATTTGAAAATAAGTATTCAGTTACTCGAAAATGAATAATCATACAAATATACATTTCTAGATCGATTTAATTTTTGAATCCGCTACTACATCCATCTAAATGAAAACATGCACGTTATTTCTGGATTCGCCACTGCGTCCATCTAAATGATGGGCCTACATGAACTTAATAATTGAACGTACTCAAAAATCGAGGAAGAAGCTAAGCAAAGTTGAATGCACGACCGAAACTCCATAATTGCTTCTAAATGAAGAAACGGATCCATAAAGCAAAGCATATATGGATCATGAGAGTTGGACTTCAACTTGAGAATGTTAAAAGTGAAATTTGCACTAAATAGGACTAAAACATAATAACTTTTCTAATGTAGAACTTAAACTTTTTTATTCCATAAATAGGACTTAATAATGATCTAGTGGGAGGAATAATGTCCAGTAATGATGGACATTTAGTTGAATAATGACTACTTGATAATGACCAAAGGTCCTACATTGGGAAATAAAAACATATGGTTCTATATTGGAAAAATCATTATGTTTTAGTCCTATTTAGGTAAATTTCTCATGTTAAAATCCTATTTTTTCAAGAACTACGATGAATGCAAAAGAAAATGTTTTGCTTTGAAGAAAGAGATGAGGATGAGTGATTGATTGAGAAAATATTTTCCTACTCCCTCTATACCGAAATGAATAAAAAAGTTTTCTCACATCTCGATAATTTTTACTTATTTGTATACTCCGTATTTTTTATTAGTTATTTGATAAAATAAAATATTTTTATCACGTTTTATTTTGTAGAGTTTTTGTCTTAGTTTTTCAATATATAATTTTTATATTTTATTGATGTACTAATTTATAAACAAAAAGATTTTCGAAGATGATATGAGTTTACCTCGTAACTCCTAATTTGTAATACAAATTGAGGAGGGAGTATAAGAATATTAGTGGGTGCCAAAATAATGAGAGTTCAAGATTGGTCAACTATTCATTTTTGTCAAATATGCAACTGTCTTTTAATTTTTCAATAATGTCATTCAACTCTCTAAAATGTTCAAAAGTACTACTTAAGTATTACTCCGTATGTTTTATCATAAGTGCCACTCTTTTTTTTAGTTTCCATAATGCCATTAAACTCTCTAATATTTTTTCAAAATACCACTTAATGTCTCAACTTTTCTTTTTTAAATTTCTCTAGAAAAATAAAATTAGTTTATTTTTCTAAAAGTGAACAATGATAGATGGTGAAATTTGTTTACATAAGATTGAAGTTTTCATGTCACATATTAACTTATAAGAAAGATAAAAAAAATAAAATAAGAAATATTTTAGTAATGCACATTAAAAAATGCGTACTTTAGAGTTTAGGTTAGGCCAAGTTCTCTTTATTTATTATTACTTACTCCCTCCGTCCCAATTTAAATCGCCCGTTTTGACTTTTGGACATATTTAAGAAAAATAAACAAATAAAGTTGATTTTTCGAAATTGACATTACTTGTTAGGAGTGGTGATGATGAATGAAAAAATAAGGTGAAGAAGAGTGACTTATTTCAGGGGTAGTTTATATATTTTATTTTTAAAAGTTTACAAAAACAACTAACAGGCAACTTATTTTGGGACGAGAAAAAAGGCAAACAGGCGATTTAAATTGGGACGGAGGGAGTATTACTTTTTCTTATTGAAATTAGATTAGACCATATTAGATCATACAAGATTAGATTAGATTATATGACAAACAACTTTAAATATAACTACATTAAGATCAGATTATGTCAAAACTTATTCTAATCATATCAGAACTATTAAGATTAGAGGAAGAGAACATGACCTTAATTAATCGAAGAAGAAGTGTCTACGTACTATTTGTAAATTGTAACCAAGAAGCAAGATGGAAGATCTTCTCATGTTTTTGTAGGTAATTTGTGGATGTGGTGTTTTCTACTCTCAAATGTTATGTTCTTTCTTGTGTATATGTCAAATTTTGAATTTTTACCGTCCATTATTTTCATTCTTAGATCTCAAGTTAATTAAAAGATATGTGGTATATTAATTAGAAAAATACTACGAGTAATATTTAAAATAGATTAAATAAAATTATTTTTTAATCAATATCTAATATAAATTTTATTTAGTGAGTGGTTAAAATTTGTCAACTCTATCTTTTGACTCCGCCCCTATGTCCGAATTTAACTTTCTATTTTCTTATATATAGATGTGTGTTTGGATAAACATTTCCTCCTTTCATTAAAAAATACGAGCAATCCACCTACTTCAACATAGTCAACCTTCCTTTAAAGAGAAAATAATCACAAATCACCCTAAATAGGATTAAAACATATAGAAAAGTACTAAAATAGAATTTTCGTATTTTTTTTTTTGAAATAAGACTTTGCACTCTGGTAATGTGGCATTGTGCATGTGCACATTACTATACTTTTTTGGTAATGTACATGATCGTTTTAGTAATGTAAGTCCTATTTCAAAAATAAACTATGAAAGTTCAATTTAGTATATTTTCAATGTTTTAATCCTACTTTGGTCTTTTTTCCAAGAAGAATCAAAATGAGAAAATTAAATCAAGATAGAGATTTGAAAATAAGTGATACTTCTTCACTTTATTATTTCATCAAACAATCAATGAAAATGTAAAATGAAGAAAATACTTTAGTTTATTCGACCTTGTAAATACTAACTCAAAGACCTTATTTTAAGTCACAATGCAAATTTTTTTATTTGGAAATTAAATAACATAATGGATTTTGTTGTACTTTACTCGAATAATTTGTGTTAGTATAAAATTTCAAGGATTTAATAATGGAAAAAATACTAAAAAATATAGGAGCAAAACATGAAGAAATTACAAAAATAAGAGTTTAATGTTTTTATCCCCAAAATATGAATTACAATATAAATAATGTCAATATATAATGTCAAAAAAACATTGTGATCTTATTTTGGGATAACAGTTATGTTTGGGATTAAAGTGTCTAACTCTTATTTTGGGATAAAAGTCATGGTCTAGTATCACAATGTCATAATATAAACTCTTATTTTTGGAATAAAAATATGAAACTTCCATTTTAGATAGGAGTTACCTAGTAGTATATTTTATTTCTATTTGTACAAAGTTTATATTTGCGTACCGGTAATTTCCTGCTCAATAACATCCGCATTCATCTCGCAAGTTATATTGCTCTGCACCCAAACACAACATGTTTGTGAGGAAGAGAATTTGACTACAAAGTTGAAGATAAATTTTTTGAACAAACTTTTAAATAAAGTAAAAAACTTGACTCATTATTGTTTGATGAATAAGATGAACAAGAGGAAGAAATCATTGTATGTACCTCAGCCCTGTGAATGCACAAGAATCTAGCAGGTCTACTTAAACACGTAACCAACCTAGTTTTCTCTTAACCTATGAAGGTGATGTGTTCCTTGTTGAGAATGACGAGCCACAGACCTACCTTGAGGGTATTAGATTCCCTGAGGCTGAGGGATGGTGTCAAGAAATAAATCTGAAATTAAATCAATGTACACTATGCTCCGAAAAATGATAAAATAAAATTGGCCTGGTCCAAAATTCATATTGTGTGCCCTATTTTATATTTTTAGGATACTTTTGCTTTAAAATTATTAATAAATTTAAAAATATGATGCCTTAAATTTTAAGGTGCCCTGTGCGGTTGGCCACTTTGCACACCCTTCAGGCCTCCCATGCACTAACCAAATTTAAACTTTGGTTTAAGCACTCGAAATGGTTAAACACATTCGGTGGAAGTGGGTCTTCAAGAAGATTGGTAGCAAAAGATTATTAACAAATTCAAGGAATAAACTATGATGGGAAGGTATACCTTTAATGCATGATTGGTGGCAAAATATTATTTATAAATTCAAGGAATAGACTATGATGAAATCTTTTCTCTTGTCGCGATGATTAAATTTATTCGGATCTTGTTGGCTATTACCACATACTATGATTATGAAACTTGGCATATAGACGTCAAAATAACTTTTCTTAATGGAATCACCTTGAGGATCTGTACATGACATAACCTTAAGGGTTTTGTATTCTTGAAAAGTATACTAAAGTACGCAAGTTGCAATGTTCAATCTATGGATTGAATCAAGCCTCGTAGAGTTGGAATATTTGTTTAATTTTCACAAAACTGTATTAATTAGTTAAGGATTTGAGTGAAACAATGACTAGTCTTGCGCATACAGAAAGACTATTGGCATCGATGTAGTCTTCCATGCATTATTTGTCATGACATACTACGTACTCATGTTAAAGCCTAGTTGAGTAAGAAATTCTCTATGAAAAACTTTCATTGGGAGAAGCTGGCTATGCTCTTTGCATTGGGATATATAGAGATAGATCTAGAAAGTTGATGGATTTGAGTTAAAGTACATACTTAGATAAAATCATCGGTCGATTCAAAATAATTGATTTTAAAAGAGGAAATCGACCTATACTCCAAATGATTAGTCTTTAATTTTAAAGACTCGTTGCCCTTTGACACAAGAGGACAAGAAACACATGCAACATTATGCTTCACTTATTGGATCAATAATGTTTGATATGATATGTACTTGACTTGACGCCACCTTTCCTCTAAGCGTTACGAACAGATACCAATCCAATCTGCCAAAAGTCATTGCACGACACTGAAGAACATCCTTAAAAACCCGTGAAGAACTTCAAATTCCTTCTTGGTATACGAGGGTGAATAAGAGTTTAGAATAATCGGTTATACTAATGCCATGATGTATATCTTTCTTCGCCATTCAGATAATAAACATATTTCGCCAAAGATTTGAAGAGCTATAAGCAAGATGCTATTGCAGATTCAACTACAGAAACAAAATACATCATGATAATTTCTGAAGTTGTCAAAGAAGGTGTTTGGATGAAGAGTTTCTCTATACAACTTAATTAGAGTGGTTCCTAGTATCAAGAACCATATACAGTTGTATTATTAGGTGGTCCCAAAGGCTAAAAAACCACGATCTCACTATCAAGCTAAACACATTGTCAGACCTTATCACATAATACGTGAAATCGTAGATCGTGGAGACGTCGAGATTTGCAAAATAGAAATAGATTATAATTTAGCAGATCCACTCACCAAGATTTTAGGAAGTCCTAAACACGAGTGTCACCCTGTGTCATTGGTATTCGGGAAATGCATAGTTGGCCTTAGTAGTTAGTACTAATGGGAGATTGTTGAGTTTGTGAGCCCTAGAGGGTAATCTAGCTATTTTTATATATTTGAATATTTATCAAGAATAAACAGTTCAAAAGATGATTTATGCATTTCGTGTATCTAAACGTAGTTTTAGCCCAAAACTTAGTGCTCTTATAGCATATATTAGAACCACGATGTTTTGATTATTAGACTATTCTATTTATAGAGGCTTTGCTTAAAATATCCTTAGTCGCATATATATGACAATGTGAACTTTATAATATATTAAGATTAATACGTATATGGTCGAGACAAGATAGTTGCGTCTCATAGGCTATAGATATTGAGATACCTTAGTCTATACATAGGTACATAAATGGGATATGGTACTGGATTGACCCGCCATATATGAGAATATTACAATAGTATTATTTTAATATTTTAGTAGTATATATTCTCATTGTATGATTGATATTACTATAATTTGACTTAAAGTCATTATGATATTTGAAATGCATACTTTGTTCTATTACTAATCACATCTGAAATACTGGTAGACATATAGTTCTACTATAAGTATGTATTTAAACATATGTAAAGATATGCATGGCGTAAAAAGAAGTTTTCCATACCATTGTACGAAAATGTAATATTTTCGAGCTCACTGATTGATGTGATTTTGGAAGCACATCGCCTTGTCCAAATAAATTAATATCTCCCTTTTTCCCAAATATTTTACACTTTATGCAAAACAAATTGAAGCAAATTTTCAATTTTTAAAATTTATTTTATTTAAAAATTGGTATAGAAATTAAACAATAACACAGACATATTTAATATATACGTCAAAACTTCTACAAAACAAGATGTGACAAGAATATTTTATTTTATCAAATAATTGATCAAAACATAGAAAGTAAATAAACAAAAATTTCTGTGACTTTTAGATAGTGAAGAGTGTAATTCTTTTGGGATAGAGTGAGTATAAGATATTAATCTTATTTAAATCACACAAGTAAGTCTAAAAATATATATATAATATAATAATTAAAATTGACAAAAAAGTGTTATATTCTATATCCATGGCCGAAAATGAGAATGGAAAAAAAAAAGAAAGAATTAGATTCTCTTTCTAACTCTAATCTAAACTGAGAATTGTGCTTCCATGATCCTGAGGTTCACATGTGTAAAATAGACATTCTCACATTTTTTATGAGCGGCCATTCCAGCCAAATAGCTCCGGTGCTCCTTGTGAGCGGCCTTATTTCTAAAGTACCATGGTTTCAAAACGTTGCATCCACACCCCTATGATTGTTTTGCAGTCATCATTCGACAAAGAGAGGAAATTGTTGCGTATTTTCTAAACCATATATAAGGGGCGCACATGCTCATTTCTTATTTTTCGTTTATTACTTTATTTTTTTCCATTTTTTAAATTTTTTTTATCTTTGTTTCCTTTTCCTAGAGAAGTTTTTTAAATTTTTTTTAAATTTTTTATAATTTTTTAAAAATTCAAAATTCTTTGTGTTTGAAATAAAAATAAAAAAATTAACATATACTCCATCTTTCTCAAATTAAACATTTAACTTTTTGTTTTCTAGAATAATGTTTTTGGTAAGTTCAAAGAGAAAATAAAAAATAAAAAAATAAAAATATGGAAAAATGAAATGAAAAAATTGAAACATCTAGAAAAGAGTCCTACACAAAAATGAATTTTCTAAAAAAAACCTTTAGAATTGCAATATTCAACAAGGATATTCATTTTTATTTTTGGTTTTATTCTATTATTTCATATTTTATTTCTCATTTTTTGAAGTTCTTAAAAAACGTATTTACTCTTTTGTTTCAGAAAACAAGATTGTTAATTTGAGACGTACAAATGCAATATACGTACAAACGTACAGATGCAGTTTTGAGCCAGGCACGAGCTGAAAAAATCACGAGAAGGAATTCCGAGAATATTTTCTTGCTCATCTCAAATAATATTATATACTCTAGTAATATTCTGGAAAGAATTTAATTTCTTCTTAGAACGTCGATCACAAAACAAGTTAAAGGAAAATAAAACGAATTTTTCCCCCCATTTTGCACTACTAATATATAATCCACTAATCCTCACTAATTTTCATATAAATTAAAATTTAAAAAATTCTAAATACATCCAAAGATTAGAAAAGACTTTTAGGTGGAGTAGAGCATATATAGGAAATTGACACAATAATAGAGTAAATTATATAGAGGAATGAATGATGATTATGTAGATTATCTAGTAGTATATATAGTGTACATATATATAAGAAATATTTGGACAAAATAGTATTAAAATATTTAGTCATTTCTTAATGTAGGACTTAAATTTTTTTCATTCTCCAAATAACACTTAATAATGTCTAGAAGAAGAAATAATGACCCGTGATCGTGAATATTTAGTTGAATAATGACTAATAAATAATAATTAATAGTGTTACATTGAATAATAAAAACATATAATACTATTTAGAAAAAATCATTATGTTTTAGTGTTATTTAATATAAATATACCTTGTAGGGAGGAGTGAAGACGCCGATGCCGAATTTGGGATTAGTGACGTTGGCTTGCATAACTAAAGGAATGGCACCAAGATGGGTGAAAAGATCGGCGATTAAAGAAGGGGAATGCTTAATGATTTTGAGCATGTCGATGTCAAGCGTGGCGTTGACCAACGACACATCTTTGCCGGCAATGGTCGTCCCGCCGCCATTGGTGGGTTCCACGACGGCCAGCAGATTTCCGTCGTGGCGGATCGTCATGTTCAAGGAGTCGTACTTGAAGGTGTAGACGCTTCTGTTGCGGACCTTAACGGTCACGTCCATCTTGAAAGTCAAGGTGGGAGGGAAAAGGTCCTTATTCACGTCTCTGATGTGGTGGTCCACAACGGTGAACTCCGGGTCGGTGGGCCACAAGAGCCACGCCAGCAAGGCGATGATCAGTAAGATAGCGGCGCAGGGGGCAATTATGTTGAGGCAGACCGCCCTCTTCCGCTGCTTCGAGTCCATCTCCTTGTATTTCTGAATCCACAAGGACGACCCTGTCCATTTGTGTGTGTGGGAGGAGGAGGAGAAGGTCGGGAACGTCGTCGACCATGTTCTTGTGTGTGTGCGGGAGGAGGAGGAGGAGGAGGACATGATGGATAGATGTGTCTGTGTCTTGTGATTATGTATTTCACACACTGGCACTGCTTACTAGCTACTACCCGCAGCAGCTGTGCGTGCTCAGTATTGTATGTGAGTGTATAAATGGCTTGGGGTACGTAATATATTCAACGCCCGCCGGCCCCTTCCATCTATAATATGCTTCCTTTTTTCTTCCATAATCATAATCTTCTCATGCTTTGCTGATCGGTATGCTTCGTTTTTCAAAAAGCACTTTAATCTTGTCGAGAAGGGCGGTCAAAAAAAAAAAAAGATTAACTTGTCCCTCAAAACACGGTTATCTGAGAAAACATAAATTAGACCTTAATCACAAACGAGTTCTTCTTTAGTGCACCTTAAGTGCATATCTATTTTATGGACGGTCTCACATAAAAATATCATTTTTTATTTTTTATTTTAAAAAAGAAGTGCTTATTTAAGTAATAAAAAAATATTTATTTCGCTCATATATAAGCCTATGGTGAACTTTAGGTCCAACGTAGAATTTTACATGAGAAAACTGGTACTTGCAGAGGTTCTGTGTTTAGAGCATAAGTGTCTTCTAACACAGTTGTCAAGAATAAAACTCGAGATCTTATCGTTTTGGCATCTCCTGCATTTGTCTTTACATAAATCCTGAGTGAAAAAGAGACATACATAAGAGTTCTATCTGTTTGATTTTTAAATCTTAGTTTTTTGTCTACATCATAATGATTTTTAAACATAAACATAGGTACCAAAACCTTAGTTTTTTGTCAACATCATAATGAAAGTGCACTGAACCTCGCCTCTCAAAGCAAAGTGTGCTAAAATAAATAATCAAGTTACATTAAATAGCACATTTTGAATAGCAAGAAAAGGAAGAGTCCACAAGAAAGGAGAGGAAAAACTGGGCCCTACACACAGGTTATCCCTCGGTCATCGGATTATTGTTGAAGGCGGTCGCCCCAAACTAGTGCCGTGGTGTATGCCCGCAAAAAGGAGAGTGTATCCAAGGAAGAAAGTGGTGTATGTACAACATTGTGTGTGTGTAAGTATTTGCCCAAACCAGTTGTGGCTTTTGTGCTGTCTCTACATCCAAAAGTATTACTGTCCAACAAAGTTAAGTCCTCTGTCAATTCCTTTTAACCTTCTACTTGAAAGTTCTACCTTTGAAGGTAAACAATCAAGACCAAAGACAAGAAAAAGAAGAATAAAAACGTTACCTCGGGGTAACAATTTTGACTGGTCATTGTTTGGTTATTTGTATCTACAACAATTTCACATGATACATTTGCCTGCAATAACAAAAAATGATGAGGCAATAACAAAGTCTCTAATCTGAACTGCATAGTGATTTGTGGCAAACGGCTACTAAGTATCATATATGGACTTCATGTAGGAAAAAAAACAGCAGGGAGGGGGCGCTCAATATTAGAGAAACAGAATAGCAAGATTAAGCCACAATGATGAGAGTTGCACCTTTGGTATATATAGTAATGTTAAGTCCATGAGACCCCTCTAACTATTGTACTTTTCTTATTCAATCCCTCTAGCTTCATTTTGAATCACTCGACCCCATATAATAATGACTCAGGCATCATATCCCCTCCAACTATTGCAATTGTCACTTGTCACATCCACTCCCCTAGAATTCATTCAGGTAGTGTTTGGGAACTAGAATTTCATTTCAATTCATGTATTTCAATTCCAAAATTTGAAATTTTGAATTTCAAATGACAAGGAGAGCTGGAGAGGTGTATGGATTTCAAATCGAGCTTTGTTATGAATGAGACTACGAGAGAAATTTGACTCAAATCCAAAATTAAAATTTTAAAGTTTCCCAAACATGGAATTTGAATCAAACCCAGATTTGAAATCCAAATCTATGTTCCCAAACATACCATCATTGTACTATCCCTACTTGAATACAAATAAAAATACTGCATATTCAAATTCCTTATTGCAATGAAGGAGAAGTGCACTGAGTTTAAGCCCTAAATTGATTTGAATGTGCAGAGGGATTGTATTCATCAATACCCTAATTCAATTTTAGGGTTTGAGCCCATGATCTGATTTTGTTTCCATTAAGCTAGCTAACATTTGGATTAAAAATTCTCAACTCAAATTGGTTCATGTGTATCACTTCTTTTTTTTAATGTAATCATGTGTATCACTTTATTAACTATTTTTAATGGAATTACAAGGAAGAGTTAATAAAGGATGATATGACGAGGGGATTGAGTGATTGAAAGCTCAAAACAAAAACTGAGAGCATCGAGTGGCACAAAATGAAGTACAAGGAATTACATGAAACAACCACAATAATAGGAGGAATCTCAAGAAATTAACCCTAAAGAATTAAGCTACACAATGCACGCATTCCACACAAAGTAAATACTAAAAGTCTAAAACCTAATAGCATTCAGACATGACAAATCAAAGCATATTTTCCCAAGGAAATGCGTAGGACTACCAACCCTAGTGGCAGTGCCTGTAAGGTTAGAATGCTGCTGAAGCAGACTTCAGAGAATGCAGCACACAGAAAAACATTCACGGTGGCACATGATGTCCATGATACCATGCATGTCTGTGAAAAACATATATTCCTACCATTGTACAAGGAAACCAATACAACAACAACCCAGTTAAATCCCACGAGAGTGATGATATGGTCTGGGGAGGGTGTGTATACGCAGACCTTACCCCTACTCAAAAGTAGGGAGGCTGTTTCCAAGAAACCCCCAGCTCAAGTAATACAGATAACACGGCTAGCACAAGCTCGGCAGAGAAAGCACAAAGCACCCAAAAAAAGCAAAGAACAAACTAATATTAAAGAAGGAAAAGCACAACAAGCATAAAATACTAAGCATTATAGTACACAGCAACAGATGAGAAAACAACCACCCAGTCCAAAATGTCTGCCCAACTACCCTACTCATATCTCTCCAAATGTTCCTATCTAAGGTCATATCCTTGATAAGGGCCAGAAGTCTTAGGTCATCCCTAATCACCTCCTTCCGATAAAAGAATCAATGAATGGGATGAAATAAATCAGATTTTCTTAAATGGAAGATTCTATCGAGACGGTGTACTTTTAATCTTTACATAGTTTACATGCTTGCATTAGGCTCTAAAGAAAGGCACATTTGAGGAGGTAGCCAATAATCTTGAGTAAAATCATCAGCCTTGCCAAAGGAGCAATAACATCTTTCATGTTCTTTACGCCTTAACTAATAAGGTAAGATCTATATAATTATGAGCTTGGATTATTGTATTTATTTTTACTCTTTAAACTTATTTGAAATTCTTCTACCAGGATTTATTGTAAAAGAAAAAGGTAGCACCACAAAAAACCATAGAATTGCAATATATCCATACCGAACAAAAAGTACGTGCTCACTTGAACGGGCATAATAGAAAATGGAGAATAACATTAAAAAATGGAGAATGTGCTCATTTGATTTTCGAAAATGAAAAAATAGGGAAAATTAGAGAGAAAAAATGTAAGTATAAATTAAAAGGAGAACTGCAAACAGTAGGTTCCCCAGAACTCCAGAAGATCAGCCAACAAATCATTATCATGATCTGAGAGTCATGAAAGTGATAGCAAGTTTAAGTAGCATACAAAAAGTAATTCTAACCAAGAGAATGACCCATCTATAGCTATGGACACCATTACTAATAAAATCCACAAGAATGAAAGGATCAGAGTAAACACGTGATGCACCAACATCAAGCCAATCCATAAACCAGGTAACCAGGCAGGAGTCATTAGGAAAGATTATAACACAAATCACACATATGCATTGATAAAAGCTGCAATAGGAGAAAGCCTCATTGGTCGAGTGGATGAAAGACCCACTTGGGAGTTCAGAGGAGTTCAAAGGCCGCTCACCAGAGTTAAAGGATTTTAAGGGAGTTCATTTGGATTTAAGAATGAAGGGTTTAAATGGGTCTAGTGATGATTGAGTTCAGCTGCCCCAGGGGAGTACCGGATTATAGTTTGAGTTTTACTTCCTAAAACTTAAAAACATAAGCTGCAATAGGAAATTAATCAAAGAAAATATGACCTATTTTTCAAATATTTGCAGAACTAATTCATCGATCCTCAAGTTTTTCCTTTACAAAAGAATGTAAAAGGATGGGGTTATGGAGCTACCTGCAGAGGAATATCAAACCAGAGCAACCCAAGTAGGCCATCTATCTCAGTAACAGTATCGAAAGAAATAAATCCCTTGGCAACATCCTCGATTAGGGAAACCACATCGCTGAAGACCTCAACGCCTTCAAGCTCGAGCGTGGCATTCACGTAGGAAGAAGCTCTGGCTCTGAGGTGCCCCTTGCCAGACGAGACTTTCCCCAGCTCCTTCCCTTTGTAGCCGATCAATACAGCCAAAGACCTATAATCGACGGAGTAGAAGTCTCTGTTGCGGACCTTCACAGTGAGGTCTAGGGTTATGTCGAAGGAGAGCGGAATCAGGTGAAGTTTGAAGCGCCGGAGGCGGAGGCGGGAGACGGAGACTTGGGGCTCTGAGGGCCATAGGAGGATGACGGCAACGGCGAGGAGAATGACGACGGAGGCGCAGATGAGGGCGTTGCGGCTGAAGAAGGGGCGACGGCGAGGGTAACGCGGTAAAACGATGACGTACTGGGGTTCGGAAGGAAGGAGTTGGTAGGGAGGAAATTGCGCTGGAGACGAGGTTGGAAGCCCGTCGGCAGCAATTTTTGAGGGTGCCATATCGTTTTCTTTTTTTCCCCGTCTGAGGAGGGCGAGAGAGGAAGAGACCGTAAAATTTCTTTGACAAAATACGTAGTACGGAGTATATGGGAAGATTGGGAACTGTTGATGCAGTCATAATATTCCCTGAGTCCAGAAAAGAAGTATTCATTTTGACCTTTGGTCATTTTTATTGAGTGTTGATTTTGCGATGGAAATGTCCTTCCCAGGAATCCCTACTATCTCCGATCTATAGGAATCAACCGTCACATTGATACGGATAATTAATCATAATATTTTAATTAAATATATTATTTTTAATATTTATTTATTATTATTTATTGATGGTTTAGGATTTTAGTATGGGCCCGAGCCCATTAGGTCAATTAGATTATCTATGTTCTTTATATATTGTAATCTTTCGCTATTATTATTCAATCAATCAATAATCAAGAATTCTCTTACACAATGTTTGGTTCAAGGATTTTGACTGCGAAAAGAAAAGAAAATAGGAGGGAAATGTTTTTTTGTGTTTGGTTAGTGAGAAAAGGAAAGGAAAAGTGAGAGGAAAAGAAAAGTGGGGAGAAAATGAATTAAAAAAGGGCAAAGTCATTTTCCTCCAGATTTTGGAAGGAAAACGAGAGAATCCATCGCTCCCGTCTCTGAACCCTTTTGAAAGCTTCTCGTCCTAAACACTGCGTCACTGCCTTTTCTTCTCGCTCAACCATCTCTAAACTTGATCGTGCCTCTCACATCTCAAGTCTCAACCGATCGTATCCCTAATCGCGATAAACGATCGCAACCCTAATTGCGATAAACGACCGCCTCTCTCCACTCAATTTGCTGCCTGTTGAGTATCCCTCTGTCATATCCTGGTATCTTGCTCTTGAATCCGGCAAGTTTTGGTTCCCTGCTCAAGTTTACAACCGCGAGGTGCTGTGTCGTTTTTTTTTTTGGTTCAGTTTTTAATCAAAATGGGGCTTAATTGTTTTTTTTAAATTGTCATTGAAATTCATTGTGTTTGTGGTTTGGTGCAGAATGGGCATGTTTTTTTCTGAAATCATTATTAATAACAGTTAATTAGCTTAACTGTGCTACCCTAATCAAATGGTGTGTGAAAATCAAATCTTCAAAGACCCCTCAAGTTGTTTGTAGTTAGTACTCAAAACTTAATTGAAAAAAGCAAAATGTATAGTTTTGATTTAGTCTGCTATTAACCTGAAATTAAAATTGTTTCCATTCCAGTTTAAATGGGTGGATGTGGCCTCATATTAATTAAATTGCATGTTCTTTTTATTTTGTTATATATTTTTGTTTATTTTAGTTGAAGTGGCGCTGGAGTCATAAACATTTTAGTCAATAAAATTTTTTGGGTTCAAATTTAGATTTACATTGTTTTCTCACCAAATTTCCTTCTAACCAAACAAAAAGAGCTTGAGAATACATTTTCTTCATCAATTTCCATCTTAACCAAACATAACTAGAATTTTGAGTTTCTTTCCTTTTCTTTTCTTTTCCTTATCATTTTCCTTTCTTCCTCAATTCCTTGAACCAAACATAGTGTTAATCTCTCGTCTCTCTTTTCTTGGAGTTCGGAAACGCTCGAAGTTTTCCTCCTCTCTTTACCTACCCTTTCTTGGAGCCCGAAAACGCTCGAATTTCTTCCCTATCTGATACGATATTCGTATCAATTGGTGCTTTCATTGAGAGAATTCCAAAATAAATACAAAGAAAAAAACTGCCGCATATTCCATCTAATTTTTTTTATTAGCAAAAGAGCAATTGTGCCGCTACTTTTTGCTTGGAACAACTAGAAGAGTTGCAGCAATTCATCACTTGATCCAAAGTCATTGAAAAAAAGAAGAAAAGGAACCGCAAGATCGGAGGAAATAAAGCTGGTGAAATCTGATCTTTACATCCAATTGCCGATCAAGAACTTCAAGCAAGCAAATTTTCTCCTATGGCTTGCTTCACCCAATTGACTGTGCCCAATTATTTTTCCAATTATTGTTGCAATTGTATGTAGGAAGCCACTGCCATCAACACATAAAGGTATTTTTTTTGGTGGTAGTTTCTTTTAGCAATGGACTCAACGTTGGACATACTTCTTGATTTGTTAGAGAAGGTTCTTAACGGAGATATTGAGTATTATGAAGGGGTGTGTTTGATTTTTGATCACGAGTATGAAATTATTATGAAGCTTAGATCGATCCATAATTTTAAAGGTCAAATTGATTATGATGCACTCGACGTAGAAATTTTTTGCTCGGTACAGGATTTGGTTCGTGGATCTCCAACTGTGCTAAGCCAAATTCTTTTTGAGTTACAAATTTTCAGAGCACATATTATGGGTATTATACGGAAGGTGACGGGTGCACCTTCTCCACCAACGTTGCCCCCAAGGTGTGACAAAACCAAACCCATGCAGTGGTTAGCTACGGTATGTGAGTATTTCCAGTTTTATGAAGTCCTTTTAGTTGATCTGTTAGCGTATATTTTGTATATATTATTTTATGTATATTATTCTGTAATACTGTGGGCCTATTGTGTTCGGCTTGTAACTTGTATTTATATCCTTCGATATCAATGAAACAATTAAGTCATTCAGTTTACTAAATTCTATATGGTATCAAATCTAAACCTGGGATATCACGTCAAACTGGCGCTGCAAGTCTCGTCTCTCATTCGCCGGTTGTCTGCGCCGGTTGTCCACGCCGGAACGTCGTGAGTCCCTCGCCGGTGAACTGTCCAAGTCTCTTCCGCTGTCATCGTCACGGGATCGGCCATCTCTGCCCCTCTTGGGAGTCTCCGTCCAAGTCGCTGGTCCAAGTCGGCCATCGTCGCCCGTCGGCCATTGTCGCTCGTTCCGGTTCTGAACGCGCGTCACCGGCGTATCCCTGTTCGCCCAGATTCATCCCTGTTCGCCCAGATTCGCCGTCCCAGATTTGTCCTTTTTCCATAGAAGTCGCCCAGATCTGCGAAGAATCGCCGTCCATGTTCGCCGGTCATCCCTCTTTTTCCATCCAATTGCCTAGCCTCACTGTAGCAGTGTATCCAATTGCGCAGCAACTTTTCCCACAAGTGCTCCGTCCAAGTGCTCAATTTGTCCAGATTTTTCCATTTACCATTTTGCAATTTGTCCAGCAGTTTGGATTTATTTGGTAAACATCAACATAAAATTAAAAAGATGACTAGTACCTCGTGTGATTGGTTGATTGATAGCGGTGCTTCTCATCATATGACGGGTACTTTGTCTCACATGTTCAATATTGAGGATGTTTTATATCATCCTATTTGTCTTCCCGATGGCTCCCGGATTCAAGCTACTAAAAAGGGAAGTGTCTGTGTAACTCCTAGTCTAGTTCTCCATCATGTGTTTTACGTCCCCACGTTGCATTGTCATTTGATTTCTGTTGGGTGTTTGATTCGGGACACCACCTGTTATGTTACTTTTAATGATTTTGGTTGTGTAATACAGGACCGTATGTCGAAGATGGCGATTGGACATGGTGAAAAGCGAAACGGAGTATACATCCTGGTTTCTTCCTCTGCGTCGGCTAATGTGGCTAACGTGGATCTTGTGCTTCTTCATCAACGTTTGGGTCATCCTTCCCCAGATATTTTCTTCCTTCTTAATTCTAATAATAAATCTGGTTCTGTTGTCAAGAAACTTCAATCTTGTGAGATTTGTTTTTTATCTAAGCAAACTCATTCTTCCTTTCCTATCAGTCATAATAAAGCTGAAGCTATTTTTTATTTAATTCATTGTGACTTATGGGGCCCATATTCCCCTTGTTTGTCCTCTGGTGCTCATTATTTTCTCACAATTGTTGATGATTTTTCTCGTGCTATTTGGGTATATCTTATTCGTACTAAAAGTGAGGTAACTGCTTGTCTTAAATGGTTTTTTACCATGATTCACACCCAATTCTCTAAAATCATCAAAGTAGTCCGGTCTGATAATGGCACCGAATTTCTCAATGCCCCTTTGCGTCAATATTATGATTCCATGGGTGTTTGTATCCAAACGTCGTGTGTTGGTACCCCTCAGCAAAATGGTCGAGTAGAACGAAAGCATCGTCACATTCTCAACGTTGCTCGTTCTCTCATGTTTCAAGCGTCTCTTCCAGTTGAATTTTGGGGGGAATGTGTCAAAACTGCTGTTTACTTAATTAATCGCACACCGATAAAACTCTTGGGTGGGAAATCTCCTCTTGAAGTACTTTCGTCTAAACCACAAGATTTGAGTCATCTCTGGGTTTTTGGTTGTCTCTGTTTTGTCCGTCAAACACCTAAACCCCTAAACAAATTTTCTCCCCGTAGCGTGAAATGCATGTTTATTGGGTATCCCTATGGAACAAAAGGGTGGCGGGTGTATAACTTTGACACTCACCAGTTTTTTCACGCTAGGGATGTCGTGTTTGACGAATCACAATTCCCGTTCTCTGTCCCAAACACTACCAGTTCCGTCCAACCCGTATTAAACCCCGCCGACGTCGATTTTCCCATCATCTCTCAGCCTGCTGCCTCCCTCGGCGACACCACCACCGAGCAGCCCAGCCCGCCACCGTCCCCAACCCCGTCCCCCGTCCTTGTCCCGTCAACCGAACAGCCCCCTCTTCCCGTCACTATCCAGTCGACGGGCGAGGCTACCTCGTCCGTCCCGCCTCCATCTCCTTTACCTCCTCGCACACATCGCCTCCCCTCCCACCTCAATGATTATGTCCTCCATTCTGTGTCTACCGTCACTCCGTCTCCCTCTTCACCTGGCTCCGTCTCGTCTGGTACACGGTTCCCGATTACTAACTATGTTCATTATGATAAGTTGCATAACAGGTACAAGGGCTTTCTTGGTGCTATTGATGCTTCTCCGGTTCCCACATCATATAGGGAAGCCGTCAGATATGCTTCTTGGAGGGAAGCTATGACACAGGAATTCATTGCATTGGAGCGCAACCATACCTCGGAGATTACTGTTCTTCCTCCTAATCGGCAGGCCCTTGGTTGTCAGTGGGTGTATCGCACTAAATATCGGTGTGATGGCACCTAGGAGCGGGATAAAGCCGTCTGGTTGTCTTGGGAAACAACCAGGAGGTGGGGGTCGACTTCACTGATACTTTTGCCCCCGTAGCCAAGTTGGCTACAGTTCGGGTGTTGTTGTCTGTCGTAGTTGCGCGAGGATGGCAGGTTGATCAGTTGGATGTCAACAATGCCTTTTTACACGGGGATCTTCAGGATGAGATCTATATGAAGCTTCCACCTGGATACTCTCATTTGTTTCCTAGGAAGGTTTGCCTTTTGCGAAAATCTTTATATGGGCTCCGTCAGTCTCCCCGTAATTGGTTTGCCAAGCTTCGTATGGCCCTGCGTCGCTATGGCTTTCGCCAGGCCCATGCGGATCATACTCTTTTTGTTCTCTGTCGCGGTCCTGATATACTTGTTGTTCTTGTTTATGTGGATGATATTCTTGTTGCAGGCAATAATCCTTCCTTGTGCTCTTCCTTTAAAAAGTACTTGGATGCATGTTTTCAACTCAAAGACCTTGGTCCTGTCTCTTATTTTCTGGGTATAGAATGTGCTCGATCCTCTACTGGTATGGTTCTTAATCAGCGCAAATACACATTGGACATTCTTCAGGAGCACAATCTCTATGGATGCAAACCTGCCGACACCCCACTGCCCAGCAACCACAATCTCGCCCGCTCAACTAGTGCTGAGCTTCAGGATGCCGCAAAGTACCGTCGTCTTGTTGGCCGTTTGTTGTACTTGACTATTACTTGGCCAGACATTTGTTTTGCTGTTCATGCTTTGTCTCAGTTTATGCAGGCTCCACGTCTGGACCATTGGAACGCTGCTCTTCGCGTTCTCCGGTATCTTAAAGGGCACCCAGGTCAGGGTATCCTCCTCCGTCGTGATAGTGACCTGACCTTGACTGCTTATTCTGATTCAGATTGGGCGAGTTGTCCAATCACCCGTCGCTCTGTCACTGGTTATTTTGTCCTTCTTGGTGGGTCCCCTATTTCTTAGCGTACTAAGAAGCAAACCATGGTTTCACGCTCTTCCGCAGAGGCGGAATACCGCGCCATGGCTAACGCCTGCGCCAAGATTCGGTGGCTCCGTGGTCTCTTGGCCGCATTACAGGTTCCTTGTGTTGCTACCCCGCGCTTGTATTGTGATAACAAGTCAGCTCTCTTCATTGCGGCTAATCCGGTGTTTCATGAGCGCTCAAAACATATCGATATCGATTGTGATATAGTTCGGGAATGCCTTCAGCGTGCTCATATTGTCACAGCCTATGTTCCTACACGGTTGCAGGCAGTAGATATGCTTTCCGTTCTCTTTTGTCCAAGTTGGGCATTTTTGATCTCCATGCTCCAACTTGAGGGGGAGTGTTAGCGTATATTATGTATATACTCCCTCCGTTCTCAAAAACACTTCCTCTTTCATTTTTTTCACTTCCAACAAAACACTTCCCCTTTCTATTAAAAAACCACTTTTACCCTTATTTTTTCATACCCTACCTATCACATCATACTTTTTCTCTAATAATCAATCCATCACATCTTACTTTTACCATCACATCAGGGGCAAAATTGGAAGTCAACTATAATTTTACACTTTCTTAATTTGCCTTATTTTCAAAGTGGGAAGGGTTTTCCCAAACGGAGGGAGTATTATTTTATGTATATTATTCTGTAATATTGTGGGCCTATCGTGTTGGGCTTGTAACTTGTATTTATATCCTTTGATATCAATGAAACAATCAAGTCATTCAGTTTACCAAATTCTATATGATCGTTTGAACAGTGTGACATCAATGTTAGAGGGATCTGTCTTGGCTTGGTTTAATTGGCGTTTGCGTGGCGGCTTAATTGATGGTTGGGAGGATTTTGTTGAAAAGTTCAAGATTTGATTTGCTCCGTTACATGCTTTGGATTATATTTCTTTTGAGAAGACAACAGAAAAGGCTAGAGTCACATTTGTCCACATGATGGAAGATGTCACCACACTCCCAAACCCGACTATGGAGGACATAGACGAGTCAAAAGAATCAAGTGTCAGGTCTCATAACAAAGAGGGCGATTATAACAGGTCTGGCATCATTGGCGATGATGGTGGTGCTCTTGATGAAGATTATGGGTATGAAGTTCTAGCAAGTATCGAGAAGGTGGCAGATGCAGATAAGAAGCAAGTGGACAACCTCATTTCATTTGATGACACCATTAAATTGTTTGACCTTGTCGATGTGGTCGAGACGGAGTACTTGGTTTCACCGAGAGCAACTGCAAATTCTATGTGCCGCGTCTCGTATGACCATCACTTTGCTGCAAAAGCTTGGATTTTTGAAGATTCAAAGCATGGACTGCTCCTTTGGTTTAGCTTTATCTCTCCAGTCCAGCACCACGAGTGGGAGCCTCCACCTTGAGGACAAGGTGGTTTTTAAGGGGGTGGGAATGATACGGATAGTTAATCATAATATTTTAATTAGTTATATTATTACTTAGTATTTATTTATTATTATTTATTGATGGTTTAGGGTTTTAGTATGGGCCCGAGCCCATTAGGTCAATTAGGTTATCTACGTTCTTATATATTGTAACCCTTCACTATTATTATTCAATCAATCAATAATCAAGAATTCTCTTAATCTCTCGTCTCTCTTTTCTTGAAGCTCGGAAACACTCGAAGTTTTCCTTCTCTCTTTACCTCCCCTTTCTTGGAGCCCGAAGACGCTCGAAGTTCTTCCCTATCCGATACGATATTCGTATCACACATCCTCTAAGCAAGACTATTGAGTATTGACCCAACCCACACCACCACCGTCATCTCCACTCGCCGACCGCACTAGCAGGAGCTTTCTCAGGAAGCAGATCTGCAAGGAGGTGAAGTTCAATGACCATAGAGCTGACCTGCCTACCACCTCCAGCAAAAGATCATATGTAATTTTAACAAGATCTATGCTGAGGAGGAGAATCGGAACAAGAAATTTCAAAAGAGATGGTGCAGATCTGGCCGGAAAAGAAGTAGATCGAGAAAAAATAATGGAGAAGAAAGGAGAAGAAGAAAAGAAGGAGAAGAGGGGGACTATGAAAGAGACGGAGAGAGAAGAAGAAGATTAAAGTGAGGGGGATAGAGAGAGAAAAGAATGGAGAAAAGAGAGAGAGGGAAGATAGAAAAGAAAAACAAGAAACGGAGGAAAGGGCAGAGAAAAGAAAAAGAAGAAACGGAACAAATGAGGAGGAGAAGGGGTAGTTTTGGAAGATTGTGTATGAAAACGTATAATGGGAACTTTATTTCCAGACGGAGAAAAGCGTAGAATTGGAAGTTCTTTTCCGGATTGAGGGAGTACTATTTTCTTCATATTTAATATAAATTAATACACAATATTTTTAAGAATTAAAAAATACTTTAAGTAAAATGACTATTTCTAAATTATTACAGATAGTTACAAAAGACAAATGTATATTGGACTATGTTTGAATTCATGAAGCACGAAGTGCATTAGAAATAATTACTCTATCACCTAGTTAGTTAATACGCGTATAATACACGTATTAAACTTGCGTATGTATGATATGCGTATTATACTTACGTATCAATATGTTTTTGAAAAATACTTTAAAATACACATATATTTGATACTATACGTAGAATTAGGTATAGTACGTATAAATTTAATATTTCTTTATAAATTTTTTTGTACAACAACAAATATTAATTTGTTCCAAAAAAATATTAAAACAAATTACGAGTAACACTTTATATCAGTTATATATACAACATTTAATCAATTTGAAATAGATATATACTATCTACATTCTACAAAAAAATTAATACTCTTTGTCAACTTCAAAAAAAGACTTCACTCTCTCCTTTTTTGTCTGTCTCAAAAAATTCGTTTTGTTTTTAGAAAGGAATGAGTGACTCACAACTTTTTTTCTAAAATATATTCAAACTATAAAGTTTTTATTTTTTACATCTTTTAAACTACGTACGTGAAAGTCAAATAGGGATATTTTTCCTATTGAAAGAAGTATATATTTTTTCAAATAAATATTTTAAATAAATAGAGATTCTAATTTCAAAAAATCTATTGTAAATATTTCATTTAAAAGACTTTTGTATTTTTTTTATTTACTCTAAGATAAATTGGTGACTATCGATCGATAAATATGTATAAATTTGACGTATATATGATAATATATATAAACATATAATAAGATGTATTATAAAAATAGAAAATGTTTAAAACGCATACATATCCGTAATTGTCTATCGAACGTTTAATATCCATAGTAATCCATATTTTATAAACTTCTAACGTATTATAAACGAACATACGTATTGACGCATTATACGTCAGCCGTATATTACTAACTATGCTCTATAATAAAGTATCCATTTTAAAATTTTAAAAATGTCTTTATAAATAACATTAAAGCATTTTTTAATTCAAAGTTCTTAATAAGTTGTTTCACCTAGAAAAGATGTTCTGAAATTTGTGTGGAACACATGTGGAGCACCGGTTACTCTATTTTCAAAAATATTGTGTAGTGAAGCAACCCCAACTAAAGATATTCTTAGTAGTGTGTGATTTGATGATGTGTTTTCTGTTAGTTCACCTATTGTATTGTTAGTTCCCCTGGTTTGGTTGGCATCATTTTTTGAAAACACAACCACATTAGTTTAAGAAATATGTTCTAGTAGGTGTCGTAGCATTGAGGTCTGTCATCCTATTTGGAATCAGAGTAACCTTCTGACGCATGGTCTCTGGGCGTGCTAGGAACTCGTGACAACCATTATCACAAGTCTATCTTCTCAAGGAGTCTGGACCGATTAGAATGGTTGAAACTTCGTCAAATATCCCTAGTTAAGCATATGCGTGGCCCTGGACATCTCTCCCGCGCAAGGAGTCCTTCCAGCAACATGCTATGGTTGATAGGCGCTCTATATATACAAAACGCCAGAGAAGAAGGAGACGTGGACTTGAGAGGCAGGAAGAAACGAGTGATCTAGTAAACAAAAGAGAGAATAGTGTCAACGAAGAACTTGCGTAATATTGTTCATCATAAGCGTGAAGTTCTGGGTTGTGAACTCAGAATTGCAAAATCTGGTTGTCAAAGGTATATGACATACAACTGTGATCGAGAAGTAATATTGATCCAGGTGTTGAGTACTGTGTTACCCTGGAGTCAAGGCTGATCAACACGTCCAAGGAAGAAACCAAGGTGTGGGTGTAACAAGCGGGGGAGACAGGTGCAATCACTGTTTGGTACCTGAGGTCATTTGTAAGTGTTTTTAAAGTCAAACTTTTTGAAGTCACGTTTAAGGTTGATTAGTGTAAAAACTTATGATGATCTAGTGGAAGGCTATTACACGGACGTGAGCCTCGCAGACGTAGGAGATTTAGCCCCAAATTGCGTAAACATTTTGTGTGTGTGCGCTTTGCTTCTGTTACTTTCTTATCTGTTTTGTTTGCTTGTGTGAGTGTTGCAACACTGCGTGTGTCATGCATCTCTGTGTGGTGAAGTTCTTTGTTCTGTGTGCGTAACGTAACACTGTGAGAATTCTCCAATGGTATAACCTTAGACATTTCATTTTCTTCATTAGAAATCAAATTTTTTAATCGATATTGATTTGTCTCATTTAAAACAGTAGCATATAGTTGACCATGACAAAAATAAATTTTTTGAATAGTAGGCGTACGTGCACGGTTGACAATTGGCTCTAACTTTCAGGCCAAATAACTTAAGTGTCTCTAACTTTCAGGCTAAATAACTTAAGTGTCTCTAACTTTCAAGCGTACGTGCACAGTGGACACTAATACTCCTCTCATTTCAAAAGATATTTCTAATATCTTTATGGGTTCAAAAAGTTTAACACGCGCTACTTTGATTATTTTTCGAGCTCATCTTAACCAATATTAATTCCAAGTTTTTCACTTCAGCATTTTTTAAAAGCTTCGTAAGAGTGAAATTAAGAAGAATTTAAAGTTAAACTCCAACCTACCAACCATATACGTAAAAGATGTTGAAAGGTTTAACGACTAAACTAAATTATTTTTATTCTTAACTTTTTCTTGAAATAAAACAACTAAACTAACGGATTTTTAAAGTCAAGAATGAATATTATCAAATGGTTAGTGTATATTACTTGTACACATGTTTCAGATCAGATTAATTTTTTGAAAATTATATACTATCAGTTCATGATTTTTATGGTTATCTCTGTTATTTTTTAATCAATCAAATCGTAGAAATTAAAAAATGATTCGAATAATTTATTTGACAATAAAATAATTTGGCAAGGGATGTTTTGTGTTACTTGATTATGTGAACCATAGTTTTCAGAACCGAACCGGTCAAGGCATTGGTTCAGTGGTTTACTGGTCGAACCAGTGGTTCAAGTGGTTGAACCAATGGTTCAAACATTTTTAATATATATATATATATATATATATATATATATAGAGACATACACACTTTTCATTGACTTTAAAAAAACTAATACAGAGTATATGAGTAAATAAAATAATATAGTTCCCTTATTTATAAATAAAGAATTGATGTTTGACTAGATTTATAATTTAATTTAATTTACTTGAGTTGTGTCATTAAATAAAAAATAAAATTTACTTATTTAAAAAATTAAAAAATAAAAAGTGATTTGATTTTTAGTTAAAAAACTATATAGTATATTTTAAAAGTTTTGATAGAGAATATTTTTTATTAAAGAATATTANCTAATACAGAGTATATGAGTAAATAAAATAATATAGTTCCCTTATTTATAAATAAAGAATTGATGTTTGACTAGATTTATAATTTAATTTAATTTACTTGAGTTGTGTCATTAAATAAAAAATAAAATTTACTTATTTAAAAAATTAAAAAATAAAAAGTGATTTGATTTTTAGTTAAAAAACTATATAGTATATTTTAAAAGTTTTGATAGAGAATATTTTTTATTAAAGAATATTAAAGGAAAATAGCATAGAGTACACACATGCCATTGTGGCGGAGATGGTTTGTGAAGGCTCCTTTCAGCCGTGTGGTCGTGTGTTCGAATCCAAGAGGTGTGTTTTTGAAAAAACCTTCTCAAAAGAATTTGAAACCCGGTTCCATCCGGTTTTCAGTGGTTCAATGCAGATACGGTCTTGTTGCCCAAGAGGTGTGTTTTTGAAAATCTTCTCAAAAGAATTTGAAACTCGGTTCCGGCGGTAAAACCGGCCGGTTCCATCCGGTTTTCAGCGGTTCAATGCAGATACGGTCTTGTTGCTCGGACCGGACCGGTTTGGTGTCCGGTTCACCGGTTCCCGGTCCGAACCGGCCGGTCCGGTTCGGTTTTTAAAACTATGATGTGAACCCAATTGTTATTTTGTTTGAGATGAACAGTAATGAAAAAATCTATTACGATCTTTTTGGGATATCAA